AATTATTTTTACCTTAATGCCAATAATGAGAATCATGACGACAAAACACAAGTTTTAAGTATCCCATGCCATGACAACGGACTACTTTCCAGGCCCCTCTCGACTTGTTGCATCAACACAGTTGTAGTTTGACGTCGAGGAAAGCACTTAGGTTAAAATAATGTTCTGGAAGATCTTGATTCGCTGCCTGCAGCAGCAGCATTTCCGGTCTCTTAAACAGCGTGCTCTCACCGTCTCCGAACAGGGCAGGCACATTGTGAGGTGCCCGCATGGTTCACACGCCACTACTGCTCGAACATTGAAGCAGTGGTGGCAGGCGCCCTCTGGCAGCGCTGCCTCGGGATGCTCATGGACAAAAAAATTTTCAGGAAGATCCTAATTGGCACCCTGCAGTAGCAGCACTTCCGGCCTGCTTAAGGGCCTGCTTTCACCGTTTCCGAACAGGGCTCGCACATTGAGAGGTGCCCGCATGTCACGGTCGCCACTACTGCTAGAGCATCGAAGCAGTAGCATGACGTTGCAAGACCGTCGTTCCGTTTTCAACACACCATTAAAGCAAGGATATGTAGGAAACCGGGGTTTCCCGGTTCCATTCCACCGTTTCAGTAAGATGGGACTGAAGCACTTTGGACAATTCATGAAGAACTCGTTCTCAGTGTATGACATGGAGGTGCAGCAGCATGCGCCCTCGGGCCGCGGTCCATCCGGCTCGGGCTGAGGCGGTTGTGGGTCAGGCAGTGCAGGCTGGTCTGCTGCAGGGGGTGGGGCCTCGTCGTCCTCCTCTACACGCAGCAAGACGCAGCGGCCAGTGACGAAAAAGGCGAAAAAGTCATTCGAGTTATGTTTACGTACTCTGACATCACTACCTCGTTGTTCTCAGCCCACCGCAGCCGAAAACCCCAGGGCGTCTCCTCCCTGGCCTCGACGGCGGTCCGGAGAGTTTGGAGCAGGGTTTCAGAGCGGAATCTCCTGGACCACCGCTGTCCCGAGGGGGAAACGAAGGCCACGTCGTAGACGTCGCCGTCGACGACCTCATCCAGTGCCTCCATGGCCGCGATGGCTTCAGCTCGCCGAGCAGCGAGTGCCTCCCGCAGCCGTTCGTCGGCAGCGGCGCGCTCGCGGTCCTCCCGCTCTGCTTCCTGGCGCAGCCGTTCACGCTCCTGGTCTACGGCGAGGCCAGCGTGGTATGCTTCGTCCTGCTCAGCGCGAACGCGGCGGAACTCAGCCAGGTTCGGGTCGACAGGTGCAGCAGGGACGTGGGCGGGATCTACAGCGACGGGCGCAGGTGCACGAACTGCCAGCTGACCGGCACCGCCGATGTTGTCGTCCTCATCGTCGATGACAATGACTGTGGAACAGTACCGGGTGTATCAGAGCGGACGCCACAGTGTTCGACGCATTCGTGCAACAACGTCAGATCTGTTTAGGATGCGTGAATAAAGGCGGATCTGCTTTTTTGAGAATTTCTGCATGTCTATCTTTAGAGGCCTCTTACTCCTTGTAATCACGTCGGATCGATTTAAATGCACTGAGATAGGAATAAAACGATAACGCATTTAAATCGATCCGACGTGATCACAAGGAGTAAGAGGCCTCCAAAGATAGACATGCAGAAATTCACAAAAAGCAGATCCGCCCTTGTTCTCGCATCGTAAACAGATCCGCCCTTTCCTACACGTCCTAAACAGATCCGCCTGCGTTCTCCACAGACCCGCCATTGTTGCACGGATGCATCGTGCTGCAAGTTTGCCTACTCCCTTCGCCCGTAAGGCGCCATTGCCCCTGCAGCCTAAGCGGGTATGCAATCACTACAAGTAAAGAAGTGAGCAAATTCCATCCAAATAGAGCGAGATTGTGAATCCAATTTTATGTCTCCTGGGGAAGCGATTTTAATTACATCTCTCGTTTGGAGTCAATTTCGCGACAATTTTGGTTACAAATAAGGCTCATTTTAAGCCATCTTCGCAAACATCGCTCGTTTAGAGTCGTTTTTGCGCCATTTTCGGTTACGATAAAGACTCATCTTGAGTCATTTCGCAACCAGTGCTCTTCCAGAGCGATGAAGCCGTTAATCGCACGATTCGGGCAAGAAAACTCGCTCTTCGTTTTACAGTGCACTGGAAACGCAAGTGTGTAAATGTCGCTCACCTGTAGGTGTGTGAATATCTATTCGTTCATTTACGGTGGGTAAACGTGTGAATTTTCTAGAAAAAAATTCACACCTTTCTTTACCCCTCTCAGCTGCCCACCTGTCAGGCGTTAGAAGAGCTTGCAATGACTGAGTTTTGTAAGTTCACAACGGCGAGTGACGGACGTGCTTTCTGGGTGATCTCTGATCCGGCAGTCAGGAAGGCTTTATCCGCAATCGACCGTTCGGACGTTCGACCCCCACACCCGTACGCAAAATCTACCGTCTCCGATCACCCTCCTCGTAGCTGTCGCCATCCTTGCCGCTGCACGTAATCCATCTGCTGCGCTTGTGGCCGTGGTGTCGGACACGGCAAACAAGGACGTGGAGCCGGCTACGCACGCTCCCTGGCCAGTCCGTCAGCCGCATGTTGTTGTCGTACCTGGTCGCACCTGGTGCCGACCCTCGAGCGGGACCCCTCTCGCGCCGGCGGCCACCCCGGTCGAGACGGCGAGGGTCGAGGACGCCAACGTGGGCCATATCGTGTGCCTCACCATCATGCGCTGCGCTGCGGTTCGTGCTCCACGGCTAGGTTCGCAGCGTTAGGATGTTTTACCGCAATGCTCCTCAGTACGCCGGCAACGGCGAGCTGCCCGGAGGTGCTGAGCTCCCGTAATTTGCCGTACTGTGGGGTGGCGTTCCCCAAGTCTAATAATGTATTTCGACGAACAGAGGGAGAAGAACAGCGGGTAGAACATCAACGTTACCGATTGGTCGAGAGCTTCCCCCCTCTACTTCACGCCGGTAGTGGGGGTAGGCGCTCGGCCAATCAGAATCAGAACATCAGAAACAAAATTAAATCCGAATCCAGACGCTGTGCTGGTGGGGGCAACATAACCTCCCGCTGCCGCGGCCCTCCCGTTACAGCAGCGAGATTTTATATTTCCTCTTCCTTTGCAATTACTTTTTTCAGTCTTCTGAGTAAGTTTCGGTGAAAACGAGGTTACAGAAATGTAGCTTGATATCTCAGCTTCATGTAGGTATGCGGTTTTATAACTGTCGTTGAGTATATCATCTTTAAACATAAATTCTATGAACCAGGTCGGCTGCCGCCCGGGCCC